CGACAAAACTTAAACATAACCTAAAATGAAAATCGTTTGGACTACTATTTGATTCGGAATGCATGATGTACCATGTTTAAAATTGTATTATCTCCCATCTCCCAGATAACTCAAAAATAACTCTAATGTATATATGTTCAATTGCCGATTAAGATTCTTCATAAGTGTGTGTAAAAGTTTTGATACGGTAGTAAAATATAATTTTTTAATGTGTAGCTGGCCTTAGATAAATATTGGTATTTCAAGGTCGATAAAGACACACGAAATTTATAAAGTGTTATCATAGAATAATCTTTAACAGGATTTAATACCATATTTGATCTATACGATAAAATATCTTTTTATCATGTTTATCTGTCATTCATAATCCTTACAATATAACAAGTCGTAAAAAGATCATATTTATTTACAAAAGAGATGCTTCAATTAAAGTGTCACGCTTCTTTCCTTTCTCGTTGTAATAATCATCTAAGGCATAAGTTTCCATCAGATACATTTTATGACATTTGTATTTACTGATCTCTAAAAATGAATGAATTATTTCCCGCTTTGGCGACAAAACGGGGGGGGCTCTACAAATATTTATGAAGAAAAATGGTAACACCAAATTTGTATACAAATGTTAAAGATAGCAGTATAAAGACGATGGAAAGTCTTGCATTTCTCTCGTTTTTTCAGCCTTATTCTTAAACTGTTATTATGTCAGGTCAATACACAATTATTGTATATATAATGTATGAAAATAACACGTTATAAATTGTATGCGTCCAATGCACCTTTCTGGATTTACCTTCATCAGGAACGTTCAGAGCCGAATATTTGAAAGTCAAGGATGTATAAGAACCGAAACAATTAAAGAGGTATATGACAAAAAAGTACCAACAAAAATAGCTAAATCTATTTACGGTCAACTTTGCTTGGCACGTCAGATTTACATAATTATATATTTATAGCTATGAATTGTATTTTACACATTTGCATCTAAACTTTAAATTTCTTGAATTTAGCGGAAAACTGTTAAAACTGCAAAATCGGCCTGGTTTTAGGAATCTTGTCATGCATACTAAGATATTAGCAAAGGTTTGCCCCTTAAAGATAGCCTGTTACATTATGCATATTACAGACAAACGTGGTCAAATATGTCAATTTCGACATATTTAAGACTTCACAGACAAATGATAAGAGACCTTTCTGTATAAAAACGACAGGATTTTATCAACTCGTAACATAATTTTGTAACCTTTGAATACATTTTCAGTTTTTTTGAATATCGAGAAATGGCTCTTTGTCCATTAGATTGACAAAAATTATGTCCGCAGTAAAAGTAAGTTTTCAGAAATACTGTGAAACTGTTTACTCGCGTAGTGGTATTAACCATATGTGGATTCTTATAAACTCTAAAGAACTTCTTGATAATTTGAAATCTCGATCTCTGATTATTCAACCCTATATACCATCATTCCCAATGTTAAATTGAAAAATCGTCTAAAATTAATAATCCACAATGCTTTTCAATATAAAAATGGTAGCATACGCAATAAATTTAAAACTTTGCGATACAATACGGCATATTTTTTTAATACTGAACAAAAAGGTAAAACATGGTACACAGAGGAACAAGTGATCAGTATGCTGGAGTTTCTCATTGAAAACATATTTGTTGAATTTGGAGGTAGACTTTCATAAGATGTCGGCATTACTATAGAAACAAACTGTGCCTCTCCTTGTCTACTTCTTCTTATTTTCATATGAGTCGGAGTTCCTTCAGACACTTGTCAAAAACAACAAAAAGTATAGAAGCCCGATCTTTTTATTTCACATTAAGATATATTGATGATTAACAATCCAAACTTTTCTGATTGGGTTCTATCAATATATCCTCCAGAACTAGAAATTAAAGAAACAACAGGCACGGTTTCCTCCGCCTCATTTTCAGACTTATACCTCAAAGTTGACATAAACGGTCATCACAGTACCAGAATCTATGACAAGCGAGACGATTTTAATATTGAAATTATAAATTTTCCCCACCTAAGCAGCAATATACCAACTTCACTTCATTTCTAAACTCATTCGGTATTCAAGAACTTGCACCTGCCTCAGACTTTATAAACATCACCGGTGTCTGAGCAGGAAGTTGATGAGCCAAGGTTATGTCAAAGTACGTCTCGTCCTTTTTCTGAAAAAGTTCATTGGAAGATACCAATACCTTGTTGATACATATTGCGTATCAACTTCACAAATAATACATCATGGTCTTGAAGTATAGAATATAGGTACTGACATTGTTTATCATCTTAATTACGTGTAAAACTGTGTAGTTTTTTTATTGGTCCTTGTATATTTTAAACCTTTACTGTTTAGTCCATGTTTGATTATATACTTATGACGTGGCTCGATTCTTATACCTCCCGTCATTGTGTTATTGTACTATGATCAATTTGAATTCTTGTCTTTCATTTTTGCTTTTGTAATTTGTCTATTTGTCATTTTGTGTTTCTTTGTTGAGACAGTTTTTTTTTCGTTTTATAGTGATTTAGATTAGATTATAACGTTGACTGCTGCACACCAACTTTCTACAGTTTTACCTTTTATGTCTGTTTGTTTTGCTCACACATTGTTGTTAATATCATGGAATTCAATGCGACTGTCATACAATTGTGAGGTTAAGCTAACTATAAAACCAGGTTTAATCCACCATTTTCTACATAAGGAAATGCCTGTACCAAGTCAATATAATAGTTGTTTTCCATTTGCTAGATGTGTTTGAGCTTTTGATTTTGCCATTTTATAAAGAACTAAACGTTGTGAATTTCCCTAGGAGTTCGGTATTTTTGTTATTTTACTTTTTATCATAACTCTCCTGTTTCATGGTCGTGTAAGCAGAATCCATCGACAAAATACTATTTAGCAAAACAGACTAGAAAAGTTTCTTTAAACCATAAAAAAACTAGGTCAATCCGTTTCTGCTGTCAATTAATAACTGTTCATAAAAGAAAGAGTTGGTTTTTTTTACATGTGCAGAACTGAATTTTGATTATCGAAGATAAACATGCATCCTACTACTACCAATGATGTTTTCGAACCTTAACCGACTCAAATCTATAGAGAATCGTCTTATCATGGTAATGGTACATTCGAAGAAATATTTTATCATACATTTCGCACTGCCACCTTCTCTATCAATCATTTTATCATGTCACTGTTTTCTTTACTATAACTTCTTACAATTTACTATAAAGAATGACTTTTAATTGTATAAGGTCAATGCATATATAACAGGAGGTGCTCCCAATTAAGACACACTTTGATTTACGCTCATGTTTGTTTTCTTCCTTGACAATTAAAAAAGTAATTAAAGATCAATCTAATGTGACGTACTTCAAACGCTTTGAGTACACACCCGTGATAAAATATGAATATATTGAATGTCTACTGAACGGGCTGTTCCAATTACACCCCTACGTCGTATGTTTTTTTTTTCTGAATGAGTTACTTGAGGTCAATCGATGTAAATGACGTCTTGAACGATAGATAAAACCTAACTGTGACCTGGAAACAAAAAGAAACGAAGATACGAGATTGTAGAAAACCACACTTTCTATAATTTTCATAATCGTTTAACTTCATCCTAATATATCTAAGTATGTTATTGTAAACAGTGTAAGTAGTTTCAGTTCAAGCATGTAAAATATTCAGTTTTCTGCGGCAGTTACGTTGATATAAATAATGTGTGTAATTATGGGAATAGCAAATAATTACCTTCACTGAGAACGCTTCGATCCAAAAGAATTGCCAACTTTTTCCTATTAGAATAGTAATAATGCATGTGGGCTATAGCTCGAGATATTTTTTCTTAAAATGTTCTGTACCAAGTCAGGAATGTGGCAGTTGTTATCTTATAGTCCGTTTCTATGTATGTTGGCGTTTGTTTGTGTTGCAGTCCAGTGTTTCTGTTGTTCCGTTGTTTTTCTTTTATACTTGATGTGCTTCCATCGGTTTAGTTTGTATCCCGGATTTGTTTTCGCTTAATCGATTTATGACTATTGAACAGCGGTATACTACTATTGCGTTTATTTATTCCTTACTTTCCTCATTGATGTGCCCTTTTTCAATTGCCCATGTGGTTTTATGGAGATATCAACGAATAAAATTCAGCGGAATTTTGTGTCTGCTTTACTCAATATCTGAAGGATTGTCTAATAAGATTTGTTTTCCTTCACGATCGTATTCAACAACAAAATTCTTGCCTAGTACATGTGAAGAACTGGTATGGAAGTGCGGATATTTTGTAATGACATTTGTTGTTATAAAATTATTGATTCATTTGAAATGCCTGGTTTTGGTAATACTGTTGGTCCCTTCTGTTATATCAGATTCAATGTTTCTAATAGTTTTTTTTCAAATAGTTTGGCTTCGAACATCATTAAAGAGACAATTATTTTCTAAATGCGCTTTTTGTTACTGTTAAACTGGAACATGTAATGAGATTTGTTATCATCGCCTGATCTAGAGCATATCAAAATCTTTTGGCAGTTTCTGGCTGCAATCATTTGGGAAGACAAAGTAAAGGGACAAAGCGGTTGGCTTTACATCAAACGTCATTTGTATTAATTTTTGCATTTGTTAAATATTTCGATTCGATTAGACTATTTGAAATATACTTTCTGCATCTGATAATATAAAAAAAAACAGAAGGAAAATTATCAGGGGAACTTCTATTCGGAGCCTGTTCCTCAGTGGTAATCGTTTTTATATAGATAAGACCGTTGGTTTTCCTGTTTGAATTGTTTTACACTAGTCATTTTGGGGCCCTTTATAGCTTGCTGTTCGGTGTGAGGCAAGGCTCCGTGTTGAAAGCCGTACTTTGATCTATAAATGTTCACTTTTTATACATTGTGACTTGGATGGAGAGTTGTCTCATTGGCACTCATACAACATCTCTTTTTATTTATATTTTATTAGGCAAAGCAAAAAATAAAATACAATTTAAAAATATATACTGCATGTACTACATTTTATTAATAATCCTTCATTAACATTAAAACATAAAATAATTTAAGTAACAACCAAGCTTTAAGTTTATGATACTAAAGTTAAAGTTTAAGGTCCTACTACAACAAACATACACATTTGAAAAATGTTCACTTATGATTTTGAAGAAGTTGAACAATTTCAGTAAAACCGTAACGTGAAGCTACATGGAGAGGCAATTCATTGTCTATATTACATAGATTTATATCACAATTATTTTCCAGCAATAAATTAACAATCGTTAAATGTCCTCTTTGTGCTGCTTCAAACAGAGGTGATTCTTTGTTTTTATTACATACGTTAGGATTACTATTATGCTCTAACAATAATTTAACCAGCTCACTATCACCGTTCTGTGTTGCCAACATTAGTGGGGATGTCTTGCTGTCATCACATATATTTGGATTACAGTTATGCTTTAACAATAACGCTACAATTTCATTTTGACCATACTCTGTGGCAATGAACAGCGGTGATTTATGGTCAACATTACATACATTTATGTCAATTTCATGTTGTAACAACAATTTTACAATCTCTATTCGACCTTTATACGCAGCGACATGCAAAACAGATGTGCCGTTGTAATCAGTTATATCAGGCTTACTGTTGTGCTCTAGAAGTAATTTTACAATTCCAGTATGACCCTCCCATGAAGCTCTAAACAGTGGTGATTTGCCGTCAAATTTACATATATTTGGATTACTTTTATACTCTAACAATACTTTAACGATCTCAATATGACCAAGAGATGCAGCCCTATACAAAGGTGATTCGTTGTTTTCTAAAACTATGTTAGGAGAAAAATTATGTTCTAATAACAACTTTACTATTCCAGTCTTACCCTCACATATAGCTTTAAATAGAATCGATACGTCTTTTACATCGCGAAAATTTGTAATACAATCTTTTTCTAACAGCAATTGAACAATGTCAATGTAATCTTTAAGAATAGCAACAGCAACCATATTCCAAAAAAAATGCTTGTTATATTCATTTTTTGGCGAACTTATTGATAAATGATCATGGCATTGAAAAAATTCCATTGTATGATTATTCAACAATAACTTGACAACTTCATAATGACCTTTCTCTACGGCTATATACAAAGAACTTTCTAAGGTTAACTGACTAAATCCATTCATGTTGAGTGTATTACTTTTCGACACAGTTACATCAAAATTAAGTTTGTTCTCTAACAGTAAATGTACAATATCTGTGTAGCCTTTACTTGAAGCTGTGAACAAGGGTGATGCTATTTTGTGACATTTAGGGTTATAATCAGGTAGAGCATTATGGCTTAAAAGTAACTTAACTATATCTGTATTTCCTCTCTGTGAGGCTATATGAAGTGGTGATACTCTGTATGGTTCGTATCGGTTAACCCGAGACTGAATATTGCTTGATAAATCATCAAGGTATGATTTAACAATAACTCGATAGTTAGCGCTAGAAATAGAAGGCTGTGACAACATACAAAACGTATTTTTAACGGGAAAGATGATGTCAAAAAGAAATGGGGGAGAATACCGTAGAGAGGTTTTTATGGTTTTAAAGATGCTGTTAACTGTAATACCAGGATACGTTTTTACGACATTGTTAAGCCAACTAAAACTCGCATGGAAATTTGGATCAGCATTTTGGTTTAACAGTTCTTGGACAACGTCAGTGCATCCTGTTTTAGCAGCTTTAAATAGAGGTGTCTCACCGTCCCAATATAGTTGATTCAATTGTATTTCTTTTGTTAGAAAAATGGCTACAATGTCGTAAAATGTTTTATCCAGCATAGACATTAATATTGAAAATAACACTTTATCTGATAACGAATCAATTTTATCATTCGCAATTACTATCTGCGTTATAAATTTAGAACGAAAAGATGAATCTTGTAAATTTCGGTTTGCGAAAACATGTCTAATAAAACCATTGTCTATGTCTTTTTTCAATCTATCAAAATATTTCTGTTCTTTGTCCAAAGGGATTTTGACGACAAGTTCGTTCTTGTAGAATTTTCCAAATAAACCATTGAAAACAAAACTATCACGTATTATATCTCTGTGTGCTATATCGATCGTAAGGTCAATCATATGCCTACCAGAAAAGTTCACATAGATGTCAAATATCTTATCATGAATTATTGAGTATTCAGTGTTTCGTTTTCTGATATATGAGTTATTCAGTTTTACCATTTCGTTTTTTACAGCTTGAATTGAAAAATTTGATTTCAAATCAAAATGATCAGCAATGTTTTCAAGGATTTGCTTAATTTTGATTTTCTCATCAAATACACTTTCCGCTATACTGTTATTACAGACAACAAATAAGAATAATGTCGCCAATGCGGTTTGGTCAAAGAGTTCTAAACGCGATAAATCAGCGCATACGGCTTCGGTTGGATCTGCAAAAAACTCGACTACACCACCAGACTTTTGACGAGAATAATATTGACAAAGAAGCGGAAAGAAGTCGAATTCTGAAAATACGTTCGACGACTTAAAAAGTCGAATTTCATCTTTTGTTAAATAAAAATTAGCAATATTTAGCCTTTCGTCATTTGTTAAGCAATAATCGCTTGCTAAAAAATCGCAACTAGCTTCTGATAAAAAATCTATTGTTTTAACTATTCGGTGTTGGAAAATGTGTGTTTTGCATGACGCTAACAGTTTAAGACGATTACTATCTAGCATCACTCTGATATCTTTCGTTATTTCTAACCATTTCATTGCTTTATTTTCATCAAATGTTTTGTCGCCAACAACATTTTCCATTACAACAATACGTGTACGGTCAGGATCGTAAAAGTATTTTATTTCCTCAGGATTGTCTGCAATAATTATATCATATTCTTTTGTTTGAGCTAACTGCAAAGCGATAGAATGTATTGTAGTAGATTTTCCGCAACCGGATGGACCAACAGCTAATGCAACGTTATGTAGTTCAACCAATTCAGTTAACCGTTTCATTGCTCTTGTGTGTGCAACATTTTCTTTTTTCCATTCAAGTATTCTTCTGTCACATACATCTGCAATGAAAAATATTATTATGCAGATATAATTTGAATTACAATAAACAGCATCTCCCCAAATCATTATAGACCTGTAAGACTCAAACATTGTTAAAATTAAATTATATGCATTATTAAAGATAGTAAACTGTAAATTCAGAAATTATTGCAATGTTTTTATTCATGCTAAAATTGCGGCAGTATCAGGTTCGCTATAATAAAATCTCGCATTCATTATTTCTGTAGTGTTTGCTTCCACTTTTATCGATGAATTTTCATAATCTATTTTTGCAAAGAAGTTTGTTTAGCATTTATACCGAAGAACAAATATTGTATGCCAGGAACTGTCAATGTAAACAAAAAATGAAAAAACAATTAATATTCGAAATTTCAAAAAGTGAATATATTTTGTGACATTTCTGTTGCCATGCAGCTAACAAATCAAACATCATGCAACAATAATTCGTAACCTTTCATGACATATTTCAAACACTGTTTTATAATTGTTAAATTCAATTTATGACTATTCGCCTAATCGATTTATAACTATTGAACAGCGGTAAACTAATGTTGCCTTTATTAGTATACAGTTTTGCATTTTATCTACCTAAGTTTCATAGAATTTGTTTTTTAAATTCATAAATAAAAAATCAATAATTTGCTATGGTTGTCATCATATTTTTTATCATTAGGTATCCATGTTGGTTAATTATTATTTTTACCGATCGGGTTGAAATATTATATCCTTATTGACCATATTTCAGACGAGTCATTAAGTTTATTTCAGATTGGCGATGATATCTAAGAAAAAAAGTGGAAGATAGATGTATTCCAAAGAGGATATTCAACACAGCGAGAAAATCCCATACCCGGAGGCGGGCTTCCGCTAGCCACTTAACAAAACGTGTACTAGTTCAGTTAAAATGGACATCTCACTAAACTCCAAAACATATTAAATGAACTCGAATTTAAAAAAAAAACATACAAGACTAACAAAGGCAAGAGGCTCCTGACTTGGAACAGGCGCAAAAATGTGGCGGGGTAAAACATGTTTTGTGAGATCTCAACCCTCTCCCTTATGCTCGAGTAGATTCGAACTAAAGGGTCTCACAGTGATCATGCTAAATACACTTTAGAAGATTTGTATTTTACTCTTGAAAAGCTGTAAATATCAATTTACTTATTAATGATACCAAAATTAAAGCAAATTTGTCATCTGGTTTAAAGGGAAACAGTGACACATTTTTGATAAGATCACATTTTTGAACTCTTTAATTCGAAATTCAAAAAGTATTATCAATCTAAAAAACAACATCCTGTTAATGTTAATGTTAAATATGCCTTTTTATTAAAAAAATAAACAAAGTTTTGAAAGGCTTTATTAAGTTATCTTTAAGTTAGCAATATCAGGGGCCAAAGAAATTTAGAAATTTCAGCAACAGGAATATTCTCTTACAACTATAATGTTTGCCAGATCAGAACAAACTGCACTTTTATGAATAACCTTACATGTAGTATCTCTGTTAAGTTACGTTTAGACCGACTAAGCAGTTCCAAATCAAATTTTTATATATATTTTCCCTTAAAGTTCAAATAAACCTATATCATTCTTTGTCAGTTTATTTTTGATTTACGAATTTGAATATCGCTTTGCTATCTTTCGCCCCTTTTCCCACAGAAATTCTTCTCTATCAGTTCAGATAAAGAATCAATATAGAGAATCTCCATTGCTCCAATGAAGCTTCAACATTTCCGGTAGTGTAGTAATTCGTTGCACGTATTTATAGTTTTGCAGGCGTCGCATTCTCCCGAAGTTGACATCAGATGGCCATAAGAATGAGAATATATTGAGTTTCGCGCGAAGATGTCCCCGAACTTGGTAACAGCCAATTATCAGCAGAAACAGGTACGTTGCATAAAGAAGGTTACACGATTACACCAAAACCACACTCAAGAGCAACACAAAGAAGGAAATTTTTATTAAGATATTAGGATATATGATGGACACATGATAGTTACAGGACTTTGTATTGAGAGTACGATTCGTTCGAACTAGGTCACGAAGGCGTCACGAGACCTTATGGTGGTATAAAACCTTCGCCCGTCCGTGGCAAATTTTATTTAATTACCATTTGTTTTAGTCCTTTATACTTACTTCACGAGATGTTTCAATTACTAAGTACTATATTTTAGTTCTTTTTTAAACCACAATCATCAAATTATTTTTTAAAAATACACATTTTGCCTTAAAACACAATGCAATATGTGAAAATTATGTTGGAGTCTATGTTTTGATTGTACTGTCACTGATATGTTACACAACTGGTTTTATAACTCGATTGTTACATTCAGAACATCAAAGAAAAATACATCCACGATAAATCAATTCAACCAATCAATTTATTTCATAAATCAATATAATTAATAAATTGCTCAAAAAAATACCTCGTACTCCCTTGGGAACTGGTTCTATTTTTGCAATCATGTTCCTTATCTCAGTGAGAATTTCCCTATCATTTCTATCCATCCTGCGTACTTTTGCAAGTCTGCAACGTTCTGTAAAGCTCGTTCCACCAAGTTGTATGATTGCCTTAAAATTTAAGATAAGTAAAAGGTCAATAGTATATAATTTAAAGCCTCAACAAACTAGTACTGTGATACACGAAAGCCGATCCTTTTGTAAAGGTAATTTTGTTACAGAATATTTTATAAACTAAATTAAAATGCTACATTAGTGTGCATGACCCTTGTACGAAGGTTTTGATTATTTTTAAATGAGACATTTTATATGGAAGAGGAAAAGCTGGCAAACTATAATTGAAGAT